CTCATCAGCCTTCAATATCAGACCTTCCTGTGACACATGAAATATTCCAGAGCTCAGAAGAAACCAGAGATCTTCTGAATTCCTCTAGTAAGACTGGTGACATCCTGATGCCAAAACCAGGAACAACTGTGTGTGTGTGTGTGTGTGTGTGAGAGAGAGAGAGAGAGGACTGTAAATCAATCCCCTTTAAAAAGATAAAGTAAGAGATTCTATGTGCCTACGTTAAAGAAAAACTCAGCTGTTACATACAGCTATTATGGAAGACAGTATCAAAGCTCCTCAGCAAATTAAAAATAGAACTACCATGTGACGAGCAATCTTGTATATACAAGACAAATTAACGCCAGATCTCAGAGAGATACCTGACCTTCCATGTTAACTGCAGCACTATTCACAACAGCCGAGATACGGAAGCAACATAAGTGTCCATCAACAGATGAGTGGGTAAAGAAAATGTGGTGTATAAGCATGATGAAATACGACTCAGCCATAGAAAGGAGGGAGAGGCCGGGCGCGGTGGCTCACGCCTGTAATCCCAGCACTTTGGGAGGATGAGACGGGCAGATCATGAGGTCAGGAGCTCGAGACCATCCTGGCTAACACGGTGAAACCCCATCTCTACTAAAAATACAAAAAATTAGCTGGGCGTGGTGGCGGCGCCTGTAGTCCCAGCTACTCGGGAGGCTGAGGCAGGAGAATGGCGTGAACCCAGGAGGCAGAGCTTGCATTGAGCCAAGATCGCGCCACCGCACTCCAGCCTGGGTGACAGAGTGAGACTCCGTCTCAAAAAAAAAAAAAAAAAAAAAGAAAGGAAGGAGGGAGATCCTCTCGTTTTGTGGCAACATGGATGAACCTGCAGACACTATGCTAGGAGAAGTGACCCAGACCACAGAAAGACAAATGCCGCAGACCTCGTTTATATGTGGAATCTAAAAGAGCCAAGCTCAGCAAAGCAGAGAGTAGAGTGGGGGTTCACAGGGGCTGGGGGTGCAGGGAGTTTTCATTTTTCATAACTCTTTACATATCCTTTCAGCGATTATTAATACAGGTGTGCGAGAACTGTGTGCTTCATCCACTTTGGTGTTGATGACAGGATGCAGGTTCCGCTGTGCGGGATAAGTCAGTTCTGGAAACCTCGTGTGCAGCACGGGGACAGTTGGCCGTGACACAGAATGCAACATAGTAACACTGAGATCTGCTAAGAGTCCACCTTAAATGTCTCATCACAAAACAAAGGTAACTGCGTGGCTGATGGATATATTAATTAGCTTGACCGTGGTAATCATCACACAATGCGTGCATGTCTCAAGACGTCATGTTGTACACCTTGAATTTATATAATTCTTATTTGTCAGTTATATCTCAATAAGGCTGGGAAAAAGGGGATAATGAGCCATTATCAAGTAATGTATATCTTAGATCAAAAGTTACAAAGGGTATCATTAACTATACTCATAAAATAGAAGCAGAAAAGTCACTGGAGCTCTCAGTAGATTAATACACACACACACACACACACACACACACACACACGAACAAACTCACTCTTTCCTTAAAAGCCTGAGGCAAAATTCCTGGTAACCTAGAGTGAAAAAACACTGCATGCTTGAGACCAAGGCTGTGTCAAACGCTGGCTTAGTGTGGAGCTGCGGGAGGTGCTCTTGTTAACTTTGGAAACAAGACCAGAGGCTGCTGTCATCGTGTCTCCAGCGTTGTGCTGGGCAGCCAGCCATGGCAAAAGAGAGTCAAATAAAACAAAAGACTACGTTCCGGAAAAGAAGAATCCAAATGTGTGTCACTTGCAGAAGACCCAGCCGTGGGCCACCCTGCCCTGCAGACTCACATTCCCTCCCATCACCTCCCTCCCCCAGCCAGGGCCATTTAATCTCTGCAGCTCAGCTCACTCAGATCCCCAGAGTGTCCGCTTCAGTTAAGAAATGATGTGATCTGGCCGGGTGCAGTGGCTCACACCTGTAATCCCAGCACTTTGGGAGACCAAAGCGGATGGATCACTGGAGGCCACAAGTTCGAGACCAGCCTGGCCAACATGGCCAAACCCCATCTCTACTAAAAATACAAAAAAAGAAAGAGAGAGAGAGAGAGAGAGAAAGAAAGAGAAAAGGAGAGAGAGATGGAAAGGAAGGAAGGAAGGAAGGAAGGAAGGGAGGGAGGGAAGGAGGGAGGGAGGGAGGAAGGAAGGAAGGAAGGAAGGAGGGAAGGAAGGAAGCTGGATGTGGTGGCCCACACCTGTAATCCCAGCTACTCGGTAGGCTAAGGCAGGAGAATCGCTTGAACCTGGGAGGTGGGGACTGCAGCACCACAGCACTCCAGCCTGGGTGACAGAGTGAGACTATGTATCAAATAAAAAGAAAGAGAGAAAGAGAGAGAGAGAGAAAGAAAGAGAGAGAGAGAGAAAGAAAGAAAGAGAAAGAGAAAGAAAGAGAAAGAAGGAAGGAAGGAAGGAAGAAAAGAAAAGAAAAGAAAAGAGAAGAAAAGAGAAGAAAAGAAAAGAAAAAAAAGAAAGGTTGGTGTGATCATTCGATTGTCTGTGGAAACTACTGTGGTGGCCCCATGAAAAGTTCCATGATCCAAAAAGACACGTCTCCACCGAGCGCAGGGTGTGGACTTAGATCGGCCACACTGAGAACCTGGAGGTGTTGTGGGCACAGCAATGACCGTGGAAAGACACTTTGGACAGTGATGGGTGGTTCAGACACCAGGAGAAGGGAGCGACAGAGGGCGTGGATCACAAATAGGAATAAAGAGATGAGGAATCACCATGCCCATTCGATTAAGGAGGCTGCCAGAGACAGCGGTGGGGAAAGTAAAGCAAATTATCATACAGGCCCCAGGGCTTGTCCCAGAAGCCACGTCAGCCTTACCGCATCCCGCTGGCTCTGGACCACCTCCCTCCCTGCCTCCCACTCAGGAAGCACACACTCTTCTGGGAGCTGTGTGATGGAACGGAGCCATTTATGGCTATGAGGGAAAGGAGCGAGAGCTCCTGGTTGTTGGGTTCACTGCTGGCCAGCTATCCTCTTTGAAGGTGACTTATCTTCTCAGCATTTCTGCGTCTGTCAAAATGGGCTGCAGAGTCGCCCCTCACACTGTGGCTGGTGTGGAGACTGCACCTGCACTGTGCGTGTCTGTAGCACACCCACTAATACAATGTCATCCTAGCCTTCCTGGCTTTCCTGTCATTTCCTGAAAGGAGCATCGAGTCCTTCAGTCCCGGAAAGTGGGTTAAGCCTACAGTTCTTCCACAACCTCTACTAATCACTGAAAGGATATTCAAAGAGTTATAAAAAAATAAAATCAAAATTGTCTAAGAGAAAGGGAGGCTCTTTAAAATCCTTTATATATTTGTAGAAAAGAGAAACAGATGGAAACAAATGAGGATGTAAACTGGATCAGGACCCCAGTGCCCTAGAATAAAATAGTCTTTTACTCAGAAAATCAAATGAACTGCCACCAATGAGCAGAGCTTAACTGATGTCCAGTGAAATGAGGGGAAAACGTTTAAATGCTCAACATAACATCATTACAGTGAGCCACAGATGTATTTCATTCATCATGAGACAAAATCAAAGTCACAAAAGGAAAGATCTCAAGAGATAAGAGTTATTTTTAAGAGTGCAAGACACTTCCTGAGTCTCCACATTGAAAGGCTCAATGAATTCCAACCACAGAAAGTAAAATAATGCATACTCATAGAAACAAAACAAGAATAAAAAGAAAACCAAATGTTCCCAGAGAGTTAAAAAAAAAAAAAAAGGGGAGAAAGAGAGAGGCAAACTATAAAAAATGACAAATGACCAGCCTCAGTCTTCCATCAGCAACACTGGACACCACAGAAAAATGGTGACACGGGTTCATCATTTTGAGAAAACAGATTTTTTAATGATTATTTATAATAATAATTCTGATTTAAAACTAGAATTATATACCCAGCTAAACTATCATATAAGTGTGAGAGTAAAGTTGAGTACATTTTTAGGCAAGAAAGAAATCTTTTTATTTTTTATTTTTTTGAGATGGAGTCTCACTCTGTCACCCAGGCTGGAGTGCAGTGGCATGATCTCGGCTCACTGTAAGCTCTCCCTCCCGGGTTCACACCATTCTCGTGCCTCAGCCTCCTGAGTAGCTGGGACTACAGGCACCCACCACCACACCCAGCTAATTTTTTTGTATTTTTAGTAGAGACGGGTTTTCACCGTGTTAGCCAGGATGGTCTCGATCTCCTGACCTCGTGATCTGCCCGCCTTGGCCTCTCAAAGTGTTGGAATTACAGGTGGGTGAGCCACCGTGCCCAGCCAGACAAGACAGAAATTTTAAAATGCATGTCCTAAAATCACCATATGTGAAAAAGCACTTGATCTGTCACCATGATGAAATAAACATGGAGAAAACCCAGAGCGCAGCTTCGAATAAAACAGAGAGGCCTCTGAGGGTGGCATGGAAGAGCTGAAGAGACAAAGGTAAAGCGTGGATCCACCAGATACCGACTCTCTTCCCTTTACGAGGCACGAGGGGTTGAAGGGAGGGCCACTTAGCTTCGTCTTACCCTCTGTGCCAGTTGTATTTTATAAGAAATGCATATTTTTCTACATATTTATATTTTAATATGCTAAAAGTAATAAAATATATCCAATCAGTCCAAACACAGGATAGGTGAAACTAGAATTCCTCCCTTTAGAGAAGTCTTCATCTCTAAAACCTCAACTCAACAAAGCTTTCTTGAAATATTTTCCACCACATTTCTGGGGCCAAAATAAAAACCGATGAAGAAACAGAGCCCTGCAACATACACACAAGTTTAATGAGGGGAAAACAAAGAGATAAACCAGCACGAATGACGCATCTCCAGCCACCAGCTCTAAACACCAACAAGGAAGAGAAGCTTCTGGAGCCTCCTGTCAGGACAACACACGCCAGGGAGGGATTTAAAAGCCCCACAGCCCTGAGCAGCTCACTCACTCGTTCACTCACTCCCACACTCACTCCCTCACACCTCCCCCAGCTCACCTCCTCCCACCCCAGCATGGCCGCGTCCACCACGTCCGTCTGCTCCAGCGCTTACTCCAACTCCTGGCAGGTGGACGACTGCCCAGAGAGCTGCTGTGAGCCCCCCTGCTGCGCCCCCAGCTGCTGCACCCCGGCCTCCTGCCTGACCCTGGTCTGCACCCCAGTGAGCTGTGTGTCCAGCCCCTGCTGCCAGGTGGCCTGTGAGCCCAGCCCCTGCCAATCAGGCTGCACCAGCTCCTGTACACCCTCGTGCTGCCAGCAGTCCAGCTGTCAGCCGGCTTGCTGCACCTCCTCCCCCTGCCAGCAGGCCTGCTGTGTGCCCGTCTGCTGCAAGCCTGTCTGCTGCAAACCCGTCTCCTGTGTGCCCGTCTGCTCTGGGAGTTCCATTTCATGCTGCCAACAGTCCAGCTGCCAGCCGGCTTGCTGCACCTCTTCCCCGTGTCAGCAGTCCTCCTGTGTGCCCGTCTGCTGCAAGCCTGTCTGCTCCAAGTCCGTCTGCTGTGTGCCTATCTGCTCTGGGGGTTCCATTTCATGCTGCCAGCAGTCTAGCTGCCAGCCGGCTTGCTGCACCTCTTCCCCGTGCCAGCAGTCCTGCTGTGTGCCCGTCCGCTGCAAGCCTGTCTGCTGCAAACCTGTCTCCTGTCTTCCCATCTGCTCTGGGGCTTCCACTTTATGCTGCCAGCAGTCTAGCTGCCAACCGGCTTGCTGCACCACCTCCTGCTGCAGACCCTCCTCCTCCGTGTCCCTCCTCTGCCACCCCGTGTGCAGGTCCACCTGCTGCGTGCCCATCTCCTCCTACTGTGCCCCTGCCTCCTCCTGCCAGGCCAGCTGCTGTCGCCCGGCCTCCTGCGTGTCCCTCCTCTGCCGCCCCGTGTGCTCCCGCCCGGCCTGCTGAGGGCTTGGCTCAGGCCAGGAGTCCAGTTGCTGATGGGCACATCCCCAGGACCAACTGGTCCTGACTCGGGTTAGAGGTTGCCCCCACCTGGGACGGGGCCCCTATATGCTGAGGTGACCTCCCCCTTGCTCCCAGGAGCCCCCATCCACGCAGCTTCCCAGCTCTTGCCTCCTAGCAGGTGCTCACCTGCCTGCTGGGTCCCCTGTCCTCCCTCCCAGCTTTTCTGCCTCAGGTCACTCGGCCTTGACTTGAACCTGTCAGCACCTCTTCCTGCTCTCAAATAAACTCCCCTTGGTCACCTGATTCTCTTTTCCTGTTGTGCTCCTGGGGACACATGGTTTTGAGCTGACATTGGTCTCCTCCAGCCATGACTGTTTCTAGGAATGAGTGACTTAACCGAGAAGTCACAGGGGACAGTGGCCTAACTCCTCCAGGGAGGCCACCAGGTGGGACTCACGGTCACTCCCAGGAAGGCTCAGTCCCGGCTCAGTCTCCATGCCTGGGTTTTCCCGAGCCTGGTCATTCGCTGCCCTGCCCTGGGTTGTGGGGCTCTCCAGACCCCAGGACCGTCTCACCCACTGTCCCACCTGGGAGAGCTCACCCTGCAGGGTCACCTGCCGGGAAGCTGGTTTAGGGTCCAGGCACTGCGGCCTCTGGGCCTGGTCACTCTCTCTGTGCCACTTGCCCCAGGGTTCTGCTGGTTTAGCAGCAATGCAAGGGGAGAGTGAGGGGCTGCTGCACCTGCATAGGAGACTAGGGGCTCGATGGGGACAAAAGCATCGTGGAGTGGGTGGATGGATGCACGTGATTCCCCAAAACCGGCACTGCCCCAGGTCCTCCTCTGGGGACACCAGGTTCCACTTGGGCTTTCAGGACCCAGAGTTCGCACCTGTAGGGCTGTGCGTCAGGCCCCTCTGAGGTGAGGTTGACATGGGCGACACTGGAGGGCACAGGTGGACAAGGCCCTGCTGAGACCTTGGGGATTTTCTGGGGGGATGGCCTTCCAGGGGCTGTGGTGGTAGCTGGAACGGTTTTAGTAAGTAGGCAACTGTCCCCAACAGGTAAATTTTCAGTTCCCCTCCCTGCAAGGCCATCTCAGGGCCAAGGCGTGGCTGTTCCCCTGTGAGTCCCCCTCTCATCCCAGGGACCTGTGTCCCAGGCCAGAGCCCACAAAGGGAGCCCCTGCCACCCGTGAGGCCTCAGCCTCTGTCCCTAATCCCTAGCACCCTCGCCGACGCTGCGTCTACCCCACGGTTTTCTGGAAGAGTTTGGGTTAGATTGGTTTTATTTCTCCCCTAAATGCTTGGTAGAATTCAATAGCAAAGCCATTTGGGATTGGCATTTTCTTTTTGGGAAGGGTTTTAATTATGAATCCAATCTCTTCAACTGATAAAGGACTATTCAGATTTTCTATTTCTTCTTGTATCCCTTTTCATAAATTATACATTTCCAGTCATTTGCCTATTTCATCTACGCTGTTGAATGTATTGACAGAGTTGTTTGCATTATTTCTTTGGTTTCCTTTAAATATCTCCAGATTCTGTAGTGGCAATCTTTTATTCATTCCTCATGTATGAGTTCATTTTCAGGCCGCTAATAAAGACATACCCAAGACTGGGCAATTTACAAAAGAAGGAGGTTTAATGGACTCACAGTTCCACATGGCTGGGGAGGCCTCACAATCATGGTGGACGGCGAAAGGCACAATTCACATGGTGACAGACAAGAGAAGAGAGCTTGTTAAGGGAAACTCCCGTGTATAAAACCATCAGCTCTCGTGAGACTTATTCACTATCATGAGAACAGCACAGGAAAGACCTACCCCCATGATTCAATTACCTCTCACCAGGTCCCTCCCACAACATGTGAGAATTCAAGACGAGATTTGGGTGAGGACACAGCTAAACCATAACACCTAATATTGGTAATTTATTTGTTCTCTTGTTTTATAATGATCAGTAAAGTTAGAAATTTGCCAATTTTTTTTTTTTTTTTTTGCTCCGTGGCCCAGGCTGGAGTGCAGTGGCCGGATCTCAGCTCACTGCAAGCTCCGCCTCCCGGGTTCCCGCCATTCTCCTGCCTCAGCCTCCCGAGTAGCTGGGACTACAGGCGCCCGCCACCTCACCCGGCTAGTTTTTTTATATTTTTTAGTAGAGACGGGGTTTCACCGTGTTAGCCAGGATGGTCTCGATCTCCTGACCTCGTGATCCGCCCGTCTCGGCCTCCCAAAGTGCTGGGATTACAGGCTTGAGCCACCGCGCCCGGCCCTTCCAATTTTATTGTTCTATTAAAAAAACTAGGTTTGGTTTTATTTATTTCCCTGTTTGTCCACTTATTTGGTAGGTGATACGGTGGATGTGTGTCCTCTCCAAATCTCATGTTGAACCATGATCCCGTGTTGGAGGCAAGGCTTAGTGGGAGGTGACTGGGTCATGGGGATAGCTCCCTCATGAGTGGCTTGGTGTCACCCCCACAATAATGAGTGAAGTCTTGCTCTGTTACTTCATGGAGAGCTGGTTGTTCACAAGAGCCTGGCACTCCTCCTCTCTGTCTCTCTTGCTCCTCTCACACCATGTGATGCCTGCTCCCCGTCCACCTTCCACCATGAGTAAAGCATCCTGAGACCTCAGCAGAAGCTGAGCAGGTGCCATGCTTGTACAGCCTGTAGAACAAGGAACCAGATAGCAATGGGCCTTTCCTTATAAAGTGCCCAGTCTCAGGTATTCCTTTAAAGCAGTGCAAAATGGACAAACACAGTGGAGTTTTTAAATTCTTGATTATTTTATTATTTTTAGTTATTTTGGGGTTCAACATATGCTTCTTTAGCTTCTGAAGCTGGAAGCTCAGATAATTGATTTTAGGCCTTCTTTTCTGATAAAGCAAATTACTATGCATTTTCCTCTACATGCTTTGTTAGCTGCATCCCACAAGTATTGATATGTGGTGATTTCATTTTGATTTTATTCCAGATATTTCATAATTTCCATTGTGATTTATATTTTTACTCATAGGTCTTAAAGTGTGTTATTTAATTTCCAAGTATGTGGCAGTTTTCTAAATGTCTTTCTGTTAATGATTTCCAATTCTGTGTGGTCAAGCGGCACACTCAGCCCTCCTGTCATTTCATCCCTCCTGAGGACACTCAGACTTGCACTCAGGTCTCTCCGGTGGTTTACGTTGGTGGATGTTCCATGTGCACTTTAAACAATGCACATCCCACTGTTGTTGGATGGGATATTGTATAAATATCCCCTAAGTCAGCTTGTTTTATAGTGATTTCTCAACTTTTCTATACACCTCCTAGAAAACTACTTTCTGAAGACAGAGTGAGGTTTGGTAAAGACACAGAGGACCTCGACCAGCAGTGTTCTCAGCTCACGGGAAGGGAAATAGCACTGTAGTTTAATGAAGATTCTGAAGACAGAGTGAGGTTTGGTAAAGACAAAGAGGACCTCGACCAGCAGTGTTCTCAGCTCACGGGAAGGGAGATAGCACTGTAGTTTAATGAAGACTCTTCCACAGAATCCCCCTTCTCTGGAGTTATTTTTAACTCTCTGGTTCCATGGGTTGCAATCAACACATTGAGTTGTGTTGCTGAAAACCATGGGCACGTTCACCCATGAGGTTTGCACCCTCACCCACCCTGGGACATCCGTGTGTTTGTTCACCCGTGAGGTGCCCACTCTCACCCACCCTGGCACATCCTTGTGTCTGTTCACCCAGGAGGTTTGCACCCTCACCCACCCTGGAACACCTGTGTGTCTGTTAACCTGTGAGATGCCCACTCTCACTTGCCCTGGGATATCCATGTGTCTGTTCACCTGTGAGTTGTGCCCACCCTCACCCACCCTGGCACATCTGTCTGTTCACCTGTGAGTTGTGCACTCCCTTCCACCCCGGGACTGTGACTCCATGTGGCCGGTGCTCTGGGTCTGTCCTCACAACTCCACCTCCACTGCAACTGAGTTCCCAGGCCACTCTCTGACACCTGTGCATGGAAATTCTTTCTGATCTTATCACCATTGCTTTATGAGTATGTTTTATAATCATTGGAATAGTTGGCACTTCTTCCAGTGGTTATAACACATCATTATTCCAAATATAATTTTTAAAGACTTCTTAAAACGCCTAAAACTCCTCAGCCCATCCTGCTCTGGCCAGTCCGCTGGCCCTGGGCTCACTGTGGTTACACATGCTGTCTGTCATTCTTGCCACTCCATTTGGAAACCTGAAAGAGGGAGTCCTACTTCTCTGATCTTAGAGAGGCTGGAGGGTCAAGGAGATGATTCTGCTCACACAGGGTGGAAGCGACAGAGACCTGATTCCAATCGCCAGCCTGTGTTCCTCCCACCACACCAGTGATGTCTGCATAGGGCACAAGAGGATTTTAGGCAATGTCGATGAAGACTACTGATTTTGAAGCTAAGGGGGGCATTTGGATACACTCTAGGCAAACATGGCGCTAGAAGACACCGTTCCTATTTTGACAGGTATTGTGCAGAAGAAGGAGAATTTAAAAAGCAAATCAGCAAAAAGAACTATGACATGACAAACAACACAGGAGGGTTAGGGACAAACCCAAGGGCCTGAAATGGCCAAAAGGCTGCAAGGCTCCCCCCTGCCCATGTCCGTCTAGCCTGGACCCCTGGAAGCCACACACCCATGGGCACAGGAAAACACTCAGGGGACTGAAGGACAGCAGAGGGTTGTACACAAAGGAGAAAACCATGGCCATGAGTTCCAGCCAAGACATTGATCAACACACCCGGATGCCAGCGCCATTGCAGTCTCAGGGCCTTTATTGGTCAGTTTGAGGGCCTCCAAAGAAGGCTCTGGGGCTCTGAGCCAGGAGGACAGAGACCTCACGGGTCAAGGCTGAGCTGACCCTCACGAGAAGTGGGAGATATGGAGGGGAGGCCACTGCCTTGGGAACTTTCTAGAAGCACCCCCCCCCAAAAGGGCTGCAGCATTGAGTATAGACATTCAGTTCTTCCATTGTCCAGCTCAATAGCAGACACCGGGAAATGGTCAAAGTGCAGGAGCAATTCAAGATGTGACTATCAGCTTCCAGGTGGGAGCTGAGCCTGGCTGGCACTGGGGGGCGTGTCCATCAGCAGCTGGGCTTCTGACCTGAGCACACAGGGCGGCAGAGGAGGGACACGCAGGAGGCCGGGCGGCAGCAGCTGGACTGGCAGGAGGAGGTGGGGGCACAGCAGGAGGGGACGGGCACGCAGCAGGCAGGCCTGCACACGGGGCGGCAGAGGAGGGACAAGGAGGAGGAGGGTCTGCAGCAGGAGGTGGTGCAGCAAGCTGGCTGGCAGCTAGACTGCTGGCAGCATGAAGTGGAAGCCCCAGAGCAAACAGGCACGCAGCTCACAGGCTTGCAGCAGACAGGCACGCAGCAGCCCTGCTGGCTTTGGGAGGAGGTGCAGCAAGCCGGCTGGCAGCTAGACTGCTGGCAGCACAGAGAGGAAGCCCCAGAGCAGATGGGCACACAGCAGACAGGCTTGCAGCAGACAGGCTTGCAGCAGACAGGCACACAGCAGGCCTGCTGGCAGGAGGAGGAGGTGCAGCAGGCTGACTGGCAGCTAGACTGCTGGCAGCATGAAGAGGAATCCTCAGAGCAGGTGGGCACACAGCACACAGGCTTGTAGCAGACAGGCACGCAGCAGGCCTGCTGGCAGGGGGAGGAGGTGCAGCAAGCCAGCTGGCAGCTAGACTGCTGGCAGCACGAGGGCGTGCAGGAGCTGCTGCAGCCTGATTGGCAGGGGCTGGACTCACAGGCCACCTGGCAGCAGGGGCTGGACACACAGCTCACTGGGGTGCAGACCAGGGTCAGGCAGGAGGCCGGGGTATAGCAGCTGGGGGCGCAGCAGGGGGGCTCGCAGCAGCTCTCTGGGCAGTCATCCACCTGCCAGGAGTCAGAGCAAGAGTCACAGGAACCAGGAAGGCAGACGCGGCTGCTGTAGCTCAGGTCGCTGGAGCAGACGGACATGGTGGATGCTGCAGTGCTGGGGGTTGGGCTGGGCGAGATGGGAGGGAGTGGGTGAGGGAGTGAGTGAGGTTATTGGGTTTCTGGGGCTTTTATACTCCTCCCAGGCGCGAGTCGTCCAGACAGGAGGCTCAGCAGGCCCTCCCTTCCTTGTTGGGGTGTACAGCCAGCTCCAGGAGAATAAACAGTAGCTGTGTTTTTGTTTCCCAAGAGTTGTTGCTCAGTTTACAAAACTTGGAATTGGCCTGGGGCACATGTGTGTTTTAGACTCAGGAGGAAGAGCTGAGGTGCAGGTCAGGTTGTGCTGTTTTGCTCCCCAGGCTCATGTGGAGGGTGGCGTGGTCTGTGTGTATGCCGGGCTATGGGGAGCGGGTGCCTGCGGGTGGCTCTGCTGGGCCTTGGGTTTCTAGGCTGCTGAACAAGATCATGTGCCTCTGTGATTCAAAGATTAGGGAGAGGTTCGTTTGGGTTCTAAATAAAGATAACGTGAGTCGTGATTTGTATGCAGTAACGTATTCCTTTCCTTGGGCTGCCGTGACAAACAGTACCACAAACTGGCTGGTCACACAACAGAAATTCCGTGTCTCATAGTTTTGGAGGCCAGAGGTCTGAGATCGAGGTGTGGACAGCGTGGGTTCCTTCCGAGGCTGCAGGGGACACTGTCTCACCCCGCTCCCCTCACTCCTGTGGGCTGCTGCTATCTTTGGGGTCCTTGGCTTACAGTGGGCTCACCGGAGCTCCACCTTTATCTTCACACAGCTTCTGTGTGTGTGTGTGTGTGTGTGTGTGTGTGTGTCCAAATCTCCCCTTTTTATAAGGACACAAAGCATATTGCATATTGCAGTAGGGCCCATCCTAACAGCCTCCTCTTAACTTGGTCACCTACAAAGACCCTATTTCCATATAGGGTCACATTCACATGTGCCAGGGGTCAGGACTTCGGCACCTTTTGAGGGACACAATTCAATCCACAGCAAGCGGACACAATGGCAGAACCTGGGATGAGGAGGTGGGTGCGGGAGCAGAACCCGGGATGGGAAGGCAGGTACAGCAGGAGTCTTTCTCGCTGACTTGGGCCTGGGGCAGGTGGAGCATGGAGGGGCAGCAAGGGTAGCACAGGACAGCAGGTGCCCAGCACCGGGCACTCAGCAGCCTTTGCTTGTGAGGTGTGGCTTGACCTCGTGGAATGGTTTTAGGGAATAGTGGTTGAAAAGCGGAGTTCACATCACCCTTCACCAGCTTTGCGATGCCACTGCAGGTCAGTTCCCAGCTCTGAGAAAGCGGTGCTGGTCTGTTTCCTCTCACCCAGGACAGGCTTTAAGCAGGTGCACCAGCTTCCCGCGGGCCCTGCTCAGGACCCCACATGGCACTGGCCAAAAGGTCTCCTCGGCTGTTCTGGTTTGTGACTGTTGCCCAGTCTCTCCTGGGCCTCAGCGACCTTGACTGGTTGGGTGTTTTGTAGAATGTCCCTCGGTGTGGACTTGCCTGAGGTTTCCTCATGGTCACAGCGGGCATCGCGTTGGGGGAGGAATCCCACGGGAGCAGTGCATGCAGGGCACGGAGGGGACGCGGCCGTGTCCCACCCCTTGTGGTGCCGCCGTTTCCCTCTGTAATTGGTCATGTCTGAGACTTGGCAGCTGTCCTGCACCTGCCCAGGCGTTTGCCCAGTAGTGTTGGCACCCTCCGGGAGCCTGCCCCGTGCAGCCCCTGTGGGGCTCTGTTGAGGGTTCTCCTCCCTGCCCTGTTCCTTCCACACTTGCTAATTGAAATTCTCCTGGGAGGAGGAGCTGTCCTGCTCTTCTTTGTGTCTATTTGCTTCCTTATTTATTTACCTAGGTGTGGACTAAAGAATATTTATCTATTACTTGAGTTATAGTCCAATATCATCACTATGTATTTTGCGGTTGCAGTGGTTCCAACTTTGGCCCTCAAGTTCTTTCATTTTGGCCCTGGTACCCTTTCAACACGCTGTCCCTCCCTGACCTTTCTTTTTTTTTTTTTTTTTTTTTGTTTTTGTTTTTGAGATGGAGTCTCACTCTGTCGCCCAGGCTAGAGTTCAGTGGCGCGATCTCAGCTCACTGCAAGCTCCACCTCCTGGGTTCACGCCATTCTCCTGCCTCAGCCTCCTGAGTAGCTGGGACCACAGGCGCCGCCACCACGCCCGGCTAATTTTTTGTATTTTTTAGTAGAGACGGGGTTTCACTGTGTTAGCCAGGATGGTCTCAATCTCCTGACCTTGTGATCCGCCCATCTCGGCTTCCCAAAGCACTGGGATTACAGGCGTGAGCCACTGCACCTGGCCCCTCCCTGACCTTTCTTACTTTTGGGTTCAAGTTCATCTCAGTTTTGCCCTGTTTTATCCGTGGAATCAGACGCTTCTCCAGGAAACCCTGCTCTTGGTGGACCAAGGCATTTAGAAGCCAAGATCTGGAGCAAGGTGTGCTCACACCCCTGGGGTGTTGTTTCCCAGCCCTCCCAGCAGACAGAGCAAGGAGGCCGGCATGTGCACTGACACCCGCTGATCTTAAAGGGAGGGGTTTCCCCACTAAGAATCATGTTGGCGCTGGTTTTTCCAGACTAGTGTTATCTGGTTTGAAAATTTCCGGCCAGGCGCGGTGGCTCAAGCCTGTAATCCCAGCACTTTGGAAGGCCAAGACGGGCAGATCACGAGGTCAGGAGATCAAGACCATCCTGGCTAACACGGTGAAACCCCGTCTCTACTAAAAATACAAAAAACTAGCCAGGCGAGGTGGCAGGTGCCTGTAGTCCCAGCTACTCGGGAGGCTGAGGCAGGAGAATGGCATAAACCTGGGAGGCAGAGCTTGCAGTGAGCTGAGATCCGGCCACTGCACTCCAGCCTGGGTGACAGAGCGAGACTCCGTCTCTAAAAAAAAAAAAAAAAAAAAGAAAAGTTCCCTTCTAGGCTGGGTGTGGTGACTCATGCCTGTAATTCCAGCACTTTGGGAGGCCAAGGCAGGGGGATCACTTGAGGCCAGGAGTTTGAGATCAGCCTGGGCAACATAGCCAGGCCCCATCTCTACAATGTATTGTCTCTTTTACATGTTGCTGGATTTTATTTGCTAACATTTTATTGAGGATTTTTGTGTCTACATTTATGGGGGTGGTTGGTCTCTAGTTTTCTCTTATTGCAATGCCTTTGCCTGGTTTGGTAACACTGCCTTCATGAAAAGAGTTGGTGAGTGTTTTTCCTCTTCTATCTTCTGAAAGAGATGATGTAGAATTGACATTTTTTCTTCTTTAAAGGACTCGTAGTATTTTCCAGGAAATTGTAGTTTTTCTGTGTTGGAAGGTGTCCTTTATTAGATACCAGACCTCCGAGTTATCTTTTCTTCTTTAATGAGTTCTGGTATTTGTGCCTATCAAGGAATTGGTCCACAGTATCTGAGGTTTTGAAGAGACACACATGGTATTGTTTATGGAGTTCCCTTATCAGCCTTTTAATTTCCAACAATTGTTTAGCAATATCCCCTTTTATTTTCCATATTGTTTATCAATTTGATTGATCTCAAAGAACCAGCCTGGGTTTAATCAATTTCCTCTATTTTCCTTTTGTTTTCAATTGCACGGACTCCTGCCCCAACCTTCCCTTTGCTTGCTGTGCGTTCCATTTCCTTGTCTTTCTCTAGTTTCTCAAGGCAAAGCTCCTATGTTGGATTCAATACCTTTCTTCATTTCAAAGCAGCACTCGGCCCCCTCCTTCTCCATCCTCGGTGGCTGTACCCGGCCTGTGCCTGAGGCTGTGAATGAGCTAATCTCTGCAGTCCCTTCTGAAATTCCATAATTCCTGGCTTCTGGACCCATGTCTCACAGATGACAGAGTCAAGGAGGATGCCCCACAAGGTGGCTGTGAGGGCGGGTCAACCTCCAGAGGCCCCCACCCAGCACTGCTGAGGCTGTGTCGGGGACTCATCTGCCCTTGGGTTTCCACTCCCAGGAGGCTGAGAGGCACACAAGGAAACTGGCTGGACTGCAAGCGTGGGGTCCGGAGCCAGGGAGAGGCTGTTTTAATTAAACAGTGGAGGGAGAGGCTCTTGCTGGGATGGGCAGGATTCTGCTTCCTGATTGCCAAAGCCCAGTGAGCGATGGGCTATCTGTCTATCCTGGGGCTCAGCAGGGCAGAGGCTCATCCTGAGTGCTGGGCAGGACACCTTCTGGATGGTGGCCCCCATGTTTCCTCAATGAGGAGGTGGCCCCTGGTTGTGCTCCAGCTAAACCCCCGGGGGTGAGCCCAGCACCAGGCAGTGCTGTGCAGCAGGGTCTCTCTGAGACTGGGGGGAGGGGGCGGTAGGGTGCATGGGGTTTACTTAGAGACCCATTCTCTCCAGGGGACCCAGGATACAACGCCACAGAATGTGGAGTCTCATCCCCCACCCCGGCCAGCCTGAGGTTTGGGCCAACGTCAGAGCCCTGAGGCACAGAATCCCTCCACACCAAGACGCCAGAATCCTCCCAGAGTCAGCCTGGGACCCCCCAGACACACACAGCGGCCTCCCTCGGGGGTGGTCCCTGTACACAGACCTCTCTACACACAGTGTCCACTGTTGCTGTCCCCCGTCGTAGCACGGTTTATAGCACAGGGTCTTTCCAGGAAGCGGCAAAGCCTCCTCACATGCTACCTTTTGTGTTTAATTGCGTAAATAGTAACAATAATAATACATTCTCCTGTCCTAAAGCAGACCACCCTCTCTTCACAGTGCTCCCCCCATCTGCGTGTCCCCACACTCTCCGGTGCTGTGGGTCACACACCCCCACCACAGGACCCTCTGCGTCCTTTCCATCCTTGGCCCATGGTGTGTCCTGTCACATCTTCCCACTCCCGGCCAGGATGCTCACGGCCGCTTTGCCGGCTGTTCCTGCACAGCACGTCTGGGTCACATCCGGTTTTTCTCACAAAGAAGTGCCCTTCACGCCCTGTGTGCGGACGGCGATGCTTTTCTAGGGTATGCCCTTCTGCAGACCTACTCCGTCCCAGGTGCTCACACTCTCAGGAGGACGTAGAGGACCCGAGTGGCACTGCAGCTGTGGCACTGTGAGCACATGGTGGTGCCAGGAAGGGCTGCCTTCTGCTGGCCTGGACTGGAGTCCTGCTCTCCGGCTGCTCACTGGGGCCCCGCCACACGCAGGCAGGTGCAGGGGGAAGGCCTCTGCTTGAGATCTTTGACCAAAGCCCTTCCAGGACCTTCACAGGAAAGCCATGACATTCCCTGCACAATGCCAGCCAGGACGGGCACGTGGAGGAAGATGAACCTAGAGGGCTGAGTGCCAGAGTGGACTGACCCGACACCCCCATGCCAGGCTGAGGCAGAAGGCCCCCCAGCAAGACTGACAGACCAAGGGAGACAGCTCCGGGAACACCTGCTTCATTCAGCCACGCCCTGGCATTTACCCAGGTTGGGGCCAGCTGCAGTGGCCGGGTCGAGGAGGGTCCAGGCATCAGCCTCAGGCTCTGCTCCCAGACACTCAGCCTGGGCCAGGGATCTGGTCTGCAGGCCTCTGCTAGCCCCGAATGCCCTCCATGCTTCCCATTTTCCTCCCTGTCATCCAGCCTCAGAGGAGGCCAGGCCAGCCCATCAATTATGTTCCCACCAACTTTGAACTGTGAATCCGAGGTTCCCCAGGAGCTTATCCGCTCCCCCGGCATGCCCAGAGGGGGATGAGGGGAAGGCACCGCCAGCTCCACGGCAGCTCCAGTCTCCCATAGCGCCCGAGGGCAGCACAGGGAACCAAGGGAGGCCAGCAGACAGGAGCCTGGGCCTGCCTGGTCTCATTCCCAGCCGCTTCCTGCGTTTCCTCTGGGGTCCCCATGGCTGCGGTGGGGCCATGAGTTCCTTCCTTCGTCCTGCACAGCTCACCCTGCACAGGGCCTGGCTGCCGACTTGAAAACAGCAGCCATGGGTGGACTGTCACCTGCAGCTCAGAGGCAGCCGTGCAAGATCCCCCAGGAGCAGGAGGAGGAGTGGGTGAAGCCACACGGGCACACCTCATGTGCCTCTGTTTCCTCGCCACTGAAACAGAGATAACCGCGGTTCACAGCTCACAGGGGCTGCAGTGCTGTGTAAAGAGCCTGCCACGCTGATACATGGTGGCTGTCATGATATCCACTTTTGGGGGTGTCCTGGCCTAATCTACCTGTGATTTCTTTGCCACAGACCTGCGCCCCCTGGACATCCTGGCGGAGGTGGTCCCTTCTGATGGCGCCACAAGCGGGATCAGGATAGTTCAGGTTCACGGTGCACGGGGACTGCAGCTCTCGGCAGCCGCCCCCCACGTCATGAGCTTCCCCGCATCCAGGATTTTCTCCCAGTGTGACCTCTTCCCTGAAGAATTTTCCATCGTTGTAACCTTGAGAGTCCCCCATCTTCCACCCAAGGTCAGTGGCACTTTCTGCGCTTTGTGTTAGAATAGCGGGATTTTCCCTTGTGAGGTTCCCAGTTCCAACGCGTGCACAGGTTGAGGGGCGGCATTTGTCAAGGACTCTCTGGGTTTCTCTGGGATCAAGAGTGGCTTGCCTTGCTAGGTAATGAGGTCCCTGTCACTGGCAGTATGTGAGAGTCTGTGTGACCATTTGCTAGGGGTTTGCACAGCCAGTTCCTGCAATTGAGGGTCTAGTGCTCAGAGTTTTTATGTTGACATCCTTTAGCAGGAAGCGCTAACAATAAAATCACATCTAAAAAGGTACACTTTGTAGACCCATTCATCGAAGACTTGAAGTCCTATTAATCCCACATCTAACAGGTAAGCCCCATTCCATCCTCTGCCTACTAGTTTGGAAGGTGAAGACAGTAATGTTTGTCACTGTCCCCTCCCCATGGTTTCTGGGACAGTGCACATCATATCTGTGCTGCAGGTCCTTCTGAAGTAAATAAAAATGAATTTGCATTTCCAATTCAGCATCGTTGATTAAGAAAGGAAAAGCCCTTCTTCCGGCAGTGGCTGCTCTGGCCGTGTGATATTCCATTGAGTGTGACTCCGTGCTGGTCTCTGCATACGCACCCATCCTCTCTCCTCTTCCTTCTAACCTGCTGTAAACCCCAACCACTGAGTTCTCAGTGTCAATATTTTTCAGTTCCCTAACTTCCTTTTTTTTATATAACTTCCAGTGTTCAGGTTAAAGTCTTCATCTTCTCAGCTATTTCTTGAGCGTGGCTCCAATGTTCATTATGTGGACAACTCCAATACGTGGACCACCTAAAAGACTGGTTCTGTTTTCTGCTTTATCTTTCTACTTTCTGTCATGCACCATACTTTTAAAATTGTATTTATTTATTTTGAGACTGAGTCTTGCTCTGTAACCCAGGCTGGAGTTCAGTAGCACAATCATGGCTCACTGCAGCTACCTCAAGCTACCTTCCCACCTCAGCCTCCAAACAGCTGGAACCACAGGTGCATGCCACCACTCCTGGTGAATTTAAAAAAAATTGTGTAGAGATGGGATCTCACTATATTGCCCAGGTTGGTCTCGATCCTCCTGCCTCAGTCCCCCAAAGTGCTGGGATTATAGGTGTGATCCCCTGTGCTCAGCCATGCCTCGGACTTTTTAACAGCTCTGTTGAGATGTAATTCGCATGCCCTACAATTCACCCATTTAAAGTGTATAATTTGATGGTTTTTGGTAGATTCACAGATATGTATGAGCAATTTGAGGACACTTTCCTCACTTCAGAGGAGGCCCATAGGTTAAATATCACCCTGGACCCTGCATCAGCCCAGCACTAAGCACGGACTACGCTCCTTTCTGTCTCTAGGGATTTGCCTCTCCTGCGTGTTCCTTGTAAAGGGAATCGTAGGGTGTATTTCTTTTGTGACTGGCTTCTTTTGCTTAGAATGTCTTCAAGGTTTATCCATGCTGTGGCTTGTGTCAGCGCTTCATTCCTTCTTACGGTCCAATAATACTCCATGGTATGGGCCTGCCGCAGTGAGATTATCCTTTTCTCAGCTGGTGGACGTGTGGATTGCTTCCACCGTTTGGCTGTTAAGAATAACATTACTACAGGCATTCATGCATTCCTGTGTGCACTTTTGTGTGGACGTATGTTTTCATTTCTCCTGTGGATGCACTTAGGAGCGGATGCCTGCATCCTGTGGTTAACTTTTCGAGGAACTACCAGCCCGCTTACCAAGCTTGCTGGCAGCATTTTACATTCCTGCCAGCAGCGTGCAATGGTTGTGATTTCTCCACAGTCTTTACTCTCCTCAAGGCCCAGAAACTGAGGTTCTCCTAACCTCATCCCTCCTTAGGTGCAGAAGTGTTTTATAAGTGCAAACTCCTCCTGGGATGGAGCAGAGGGCTGTCAATTCCAGAATATCGCCTCATGGCCACTGTCCCTGCTTCTGGAGTGTGCTTTGATGCAATCAATATATTTCTACTGATTTATTTATGGACAAACCCACATTAGGGAAGACCCAACTCCAGTCAGGAGCCTCACAAACCAGAGCATCCACAAACAATGAAGCAACACTACTAACACAACAGTGCCTACAACAACAAGGAAAAGGAAGGCTTCTCGAAGCCAGCCAGGGGTAGCACAATCAACACAGAGGGGTATAAAGGTTCCAACCACTCAGAACACCCGGCACAACCACTCACTCACTCACTCACTCACTCACTCACTCACATCTCCCCCAGCTCACCTCCTCCGCACCCCAGCATGGCCACATCCACCATGTCCGTCTGCTCTAGCACTTGCTCTGACTCCTGGCAGGTGGACGACTGCCCAGAGAGCTGCTGTGAGCCCCCCTGCTGTGCCCCCAGCTGCTGCGCCCCGGCCCCCTGCCTGACCCTGGTCTGCACCCCAGTGAGCTGTGTGTCCAGCCCCTGCTGCCAGGCGGCCTGTGAGCCCAGCCTCTGCCAATCAGGCTGCACCAGCTCCTGCACGCCCTCGTGCTGCCAGCAGTCTAGCTGCCAGCCGGCTTGCTGCACCTCCTCCCCCTGCCAGCAGGCCTGCTGCGTGCCTGTCTGCTGCAAGCCCGTCTGCTGTGTGCCCGTCTGCTGCAAGCCTGTGTGCTGTGTGCCTACCTGCTCTGAGGATTCCTCTTCATGCTGCCAGCAGTCTAGCTGCCAGCCAGCTTGCTGCACCTCCTCCCCGTGTCAGCAGTCCTGCTGTGTGCCTGTGTGCTGCAAGCCTGTCTGCTGCAAGTCTGTCTGCTGTGTGCCCGTCTGCTCTGGGGGTTCTACTTCATGCTGCCAGCAGTCTAGCTGCCAGCCAGCTTGCTGCACCTCCTCTCCATGTCAGCAGTCCTCCTGTGTGCCTGTCTGCTGCAAGCCTGTCTGCTGCAAGTCCGTCTGCTGTGTGCCCGTCTGCTCTGGGGGTTCCACTTCATGCTGCCAGCAATCTAGCTGCCAGCCAGCTTGCAGCACCACCTCCTGCTGCAGACCCTCCTCCTCTGTGTCCCTCCTCTGCCGCCCTGTGTGCAGGCCCGCCTGCTGCATGCCCGTCTCCTCCTGCTGTGCCCCCGCCTCCTCCTGCCAGACCAGTTGCTGCCGCCCGGCCTCCTGCGTGTCCCTCCTCTGCCGCCCCACGTGCTCCCGCCTCTCTTCCGCGTGCTGCGGCCTCTCCTCAGGCCAGAAGTCCAGCTGCTGACGGGCAGGTCCTGTTTCTCCGGAGTTGTCCCAGGGCCATCTCTGACTTCCGAAAATCCTTGCAGCCCTGAGCCCTGAGTCTCCTCTGCCCAGAGCCACTGCACCTCCAGCCGGCAACGCTGAGCCTTCATGCTGAGGTCCCTCCAGGCATGCATCTCTCCCACACCCTCATCTCCATCCCGGCCAGCCGGTGGTCGCTGCGTCCTGCCCCATGTGTGTGATCAGTCTGTCAACGAATAAAGTCACCACTGTGCCCTCTCAGAGCTCTTTTTTGCATGTCTGGCAAGCCCTGAGGGAAGAACTTCGATGTGCTGTGTGGGGCGGGAGCTTCGGGCCTCTGGCCTTGAGCTGCATCCAGGCTGACAGCACCGGGGGCGGAGGCAGTCCTGACTTCCCGCTGTGTGGGGTCTGCTGCTGTGGGGTCCCCTGCCAGCCTCAGCATCTCCAGGCCCCAGGGGTGCCCTTCTCTATGAATGCCCCGCACCCACCGGGCCTGGCCTCTCCCTGGGCTCCTCCCTCTCTCTCCTTTCTCTGCCTGTCTGACCCCCCACTCACCATCTTCTCACCAGCCCTCTCTTATTAAATGAAATAAATACTTCTCATTCCTGGAAGATATTTTAGAGCTGATACTTATTTCAAAGTATCTGTGTATGTTTGTTGGACAGTCTGTGTACGATCATCCCAATGCCTGAAGTCTCTGTGGGTCCATTTCAGCTTTCTGTCATTTCCGCCAGTTCTCACTCATGGTGTCTTGTTTCCTTGTGTGCTTTGCTGTTTGTGGCTGAGTAACCACCGTTGTGCTTGAAAAGTATTTGTGGGCATTTCTGAGGCCTCTAAGACAGGTGTGTTTGCTTTTGTCTTATATGAGGAACCCTCTGATTCCAGGATCACCTTCAACTAAATTCATGGCTTCGATTTGTGTGGGGCACCCAAAAGGTGCCAGTTCGGGCTGCAAAGCAGAATGAGGCCAGGTTTATTGGGGCAGGATGTTCTCCTCTGGGTGTGCTGAGTCCCCAGGCAGCCAGCAGCCTCTGGGATGGACATAAGCCCATGCTTACCTCTGACTCCCTCTTCTCTGAGGGTGCAGCCTGTGCAGTCTCTAGCTTCATGTAGGGATAGTCTCCTTTAGACCCCACCACGAGGGGGGCTCTTGGCTTTGATTTCTGTCCTCTTCATCCTGCAAAACCATTGAATCCTAAATTTAAAATTGGCAGACCAGCGAATGCCCTCAAGAACAAAGTGAATTCTGGGTGTTTCTAAATGCTATGGGTTAGAGCAAGAGTCGTTCACCTGGGGTCTGTGATCTTGGATGAGAAGAAAAAAAATGCATCTTTATTCTCCCAAACCTCTAACTGAAATGTAGTGTTTCAATCAATCATGAATGTAGATGACAAAACTTACAGCGGCACCTGCAGCTTTGTCACCAACAGGAATGAAATGCGTGGCATCACATTACACTGGCTGCAAATGCTCAAAACCTCATTCTGGCCACGGCTGTTTCATAATTACGGTAGTACAAGATGCACCTGCTGGGTTCCACCAGGCACGTTCCCTAGGGAAGCACATGCTACGCATGCTGTATCGCCAGTTCGCTTTTCACAGCGTAACAGCTGCGTTCTCACGTAGTTGCTTTCCTTTTACTCATCTGAAAACCTCCAAAGCTTTCATGAACTGGCCGGGAAGGTCCCTGGCACACAAAGGGCGAAGACCCCTCCCTTCGATTTGGGCCTGTAATCCCGTAATTCTTTGTTCCTTTTCCAGTTTCCTGCTGCGACTGAGAAGATTCTTCCTAGTGTTTTCAATTGTTTTCAGCAAGATGATGGGTCAAACAATCTCACCAACAGGTTTCCAGAACTGGAATCCCTGGAGAAACGTCTACTTTTTCTGTTTTTCTTTTTTCTTTGTTTGAGATGGAGTCTGGCTCTGTTGCCCAGACTGGAGTGCGGTGGTGCGATCTCGGCTCACTGTAACCTCCACCTCCCGAGTTCAAGCGATTCTCCTGCCTCTCCTCCTGAGTAGCTGGGACTACAGGTGCCCGCCACGATGCCCCGTTAATTTTTTTTAATTTTTAGTAGAGACAGGGTTTCACCATCTTGGCCAGGCTGGTCTTGAACTCCTGACCTTGTGTTCCACCCGCCTCGGCATCCCCAAAGTGCTGAGATTACAGGCGTGAGCCACCGCACCCGGCTTTTTTTGTTTTGTTTTGTTTTTTGAGAGTGGGTATCACTCTGTCGCCAGGCTGGAGTGCAGTGGCGCGATCTCAGCTCAGTGCAACCTCTGCCTCCCGGGTGCAAGTGATTCTCCTGCCTCAGCCTCCTGAATAGCTGGGATTACAGGCATGCACCACCACGCCTGGCTAATATTTGTATTTTTAGTAGAGATGGGGTTTTACTACATTGGCAGGTCTGGTCTTGAACTCTTGACATCGCGATCTGCCTGCCTTGGCCTCCCAAAGTGCTGGGATTACAGGTGTGAGCCACCATGCCCGACGCGACTTCGTAATTCTTAAGAATAACTGGAAATTTTCCGTAGCCTTCCCCTGTTGTTGGTAATGATTCCTTAATTCTTTAGTTGGTCTTTTCCTTTGAACCGTTGTATCTATTAACTTGTCCCAGCAGTCATTTATTCCTTCGCAGTTTCCATGGCATGTCTGTGCAAATGCAATACAGAGTTAGAAGTCCCTGTCCGAGTGTCACAGGCTCCCAGGACGGAAGGACACAGGCCCCTTGTCACTGTCATTTTCCTTTGCAAGCTCCCAGCCTGACCACCAGGACAAGGGGAGCGGGCAGGGCAGGAAGGGCTGTCCCCAGCCCTCTCTGTGTCCTGGGTCTGATGAGCAGCCCAGAGCGAGGCTGCCCTGCGCTGAGCCCCATGACTGTGTGTGTGCAGCCTCCGCCCTGCTTGTGAAGGGGGGTGGGATGTGTTTGTGTTGGGGAGTGGGGGACTCACCACACAAGGACTGGGAGGGGACTTCTCACGCTGGGGCTCCCAGATCCTGGTGCCCTTCACCACCCATCTCCCACAGCCCTTGACCAGCTGGCCTAGCCAAGTGCCCACGTCTCCCCACTGGGTGGGACTCTGTAAGGGAACGTGGTTTCTGCATCTTCAGGGAGTCCTGAGCCAGGCTGCCCTCCCTTTGGCTCATCCTGTGGGACATGGGGGCCCTGCTAGTGTGGGAGTCCCCATTTCTAGGCTGTGTGGGTCACCCCGTGGGGAGGATGGGAGGGGCAGCTCTGTGTGGCCCCCGCAGCCCTCGGACCTGGGAAATGTCTCTTTTCCCTCCCGTTACTGTTTAATTGTGACATTAGTTACTTTATCTCGGTTTTTATTTTATAAACCATTTTGAGAAATGTTTTCATCTAATTGGAAACATCTGGTGAAATTTCCGCTCCTTTCGAACTGGCCGCTTCGCTCCTCATCCTCACATTTTCAGGATCTTCTCTGCTTTGGAGGTTTTCCTCCTGTTTCAGCTGCTTTTCCATCTTTGGAATATCCACTACGGTTTGTGTTTTTTCTCTTCTACTTTTATTTGCTGTTGTGGAAAACATACATTCTGTTTTTAATTGTACTAATAAATAACTTTTAAGTTTACCTTTATGTTTATTTTTTGATTATTAAAGTGAGGAATGGAACTGCAATTTGAGAACTTCTATTTAAAACAGAATTAATCTTGCTCTTCTTAACATCAGCCCACGTGTCCACCCCCACCCGCTCCCTAGCCTTTGTTGTTTAATTGGAAGCAGCGTACAGCATATTCCGGTAGAAACAGAACCACACATGCAATCCTAAATACTATAACAGCCACACTTAAAGATGGCAAAAGGAACAGGTGAAATTAAATTAATAATAGGTCTTATTTGACCTGGTACATCCAGAATGCTTCCATTTCAACATGTGGCAGGAGCCACATTTCAAGCACTCAAGAGCCACATGTGGTTAGTGGCCTCTCACATTAGCATGCAGTAAAGTATTAGGGTCTTACCATTGCTATTCAATTAGGATGTTGAATATGCATCTGTTGTATGCATCTGTTATAACAGATGGGAAATTTGCATTTGCAGTTATAACTGAGCACATTGGTTATCTGGACACAGGTCAGTGTCTTCCTGTCTTTGCATCTGGGCCAACCCTTTGGTACCCCAGCCTCTACAATCTGGAGCCCTTGTCTTAGATTCTTCTCTGCCATAGTCAGCTGAGGCTGCCATAACAAATTACCGTGGACTGGAGGGTCTTGAGCAGCAGGCATTTCTTTCTCCCTGTTCTGGAGGCTGGAAGTCCAGGATCAGGCAGGGTGCCACATGCTGGGGTTCTGGAGAGGGCTCTCTTCCTGGTCTACAGACAGCCACCTTCTTGCTGTCTTCACATGGCCCAGATAATCTCTCCGGGGTTTCTTCTTTAAAGGGAACAAATCCCATTCTTGAGGGCTCCACCCTCCTGACCTAATTACCTCCCAAAGGCCCCGCATCTTAATACCCTCATATTGGAATTAGGGTCTCAACGTGTGAATTTTGGGAGGACACAAACATTCCATCCATAACGATCACTTTGCCATTTGTCATACTTCCTTAAGTATTTTTTCCAAGAGGGATACCTGGGTGGAGTACGTTCTAAGCTCTTGCTTTTGTGAAAATACGTCACTGTTATCTTTATTTGAGAAAGATGTAATAATTTGAATAAAGGAAAAGTAGAGCCTTGGTCCGCCAAAGATTCCCCTGGAAGCTCTGAGGATATTGCCATACCCTGGTTGGTGAGACAGGGGTCTGAGGTCAGCCTGATGCAGTTCATTTCCAGATCGTATATTACTCGTCCTGCCCGTGAGAGGCCTGTTCTTAGGTCTTCTACATTGAAAAACTTGTCAATGCATGTCTAGGGTGGGCTCTGAAGGCCTGATTTTCTTGAAATTCATTAAGTTCTTCTACTCCAAATACACACACCTCTGTCCATTCAGCCCAGAATACCTGATCCTCAATTCTTTCTTTGATTATTACTTTGATCCAATTTGTTTTTTTCTCCCTAGCAATTGAATTTTCATGTTTGGTCTCAGCTAAATATACCCTCTGTTTGTTATCTTTTCTCTCATTATATTTGTGGGTTTTATCCTTTACCTCGGTGTTTGGAAGAACTCATGTTTGGAAGAACTCATGTTTGGACTCAAAATTGAATTGATTCTCTGGGGTATTAGTTTTGTTCTTCTGCTTCCGATGTGAATTTTTAATCCAGCTGTTTGGTATTCAATTTGGTATGGAAGACTTGCTGTCTTTCATCTTCAACATTTTTTTTTTTTTTTTTAGAATCAGAGACGCACTGGTTGAGAATATAGATCCTATGTACAGACCGGCTGGCTTCTAGTCCTGGTTCTGTTACTTTCTTCTGTGTGACTTTGAGCAGATTGCTCAGCCTCTCTGCTGAGGCTTCCATGTCTGTCCATAGTAACTTCGACAAGGAGTTGATGCCAAAATTAAGTGAGTTAATAGATGCCAAGTGCTTGGAATGCTGCTGGCATAGCCACGTGCTTGTCAAATGCTCCTGACCTCGCCAGCTTCATCATCAGTGCTACTAGGGGGTCGTTTTCTAAGATGGCTGAAGCTGTCACTACAGTCACATGCTAGACCTTGGGGTTCCAGGTCTGTGGGACCCACCCCCTCATACTCCATTAGGGAACGCAGCTGCCTCAGCTTCCCTTCGGCTCTCGCCCTGCCTCCTGGTGCCGACTGCCCTGTGCCTTCAGATGAGAGGCTCTTGTCAGGAGCTGAGTCTTCACAGATGTCACCCCTGCGAGGTCGGAGGGGCTTGTCTGACAACAGCCATGGAGGGCAGAGTGACTGGCACGTGCTGGAGGCCCCAGGTTCAGATGGAATTTCCATCACAATGGCAAGGCAGGTGTGCAGGGAGGGGCTGTGGGGGCTGTGAGTTTATCCCACATCCAGCCAGTGCACATGGCCAGTGACAGTCACAATGGCAGTGACTCAGATCTTTAGGTGGACAATTGTGTCACCCGCGAACAACAGACATCCACAGCTCATTTCTATTTCTCGGCTTGCTGCTTTGACGCCCTGCAGGACAACAGAGAAAGGTTCTGTGACCAGGGGCCTGCTCACCTCCTGCTACGCTACGACAGGAGAGCTGCCAGTGAGCCTCCCTAGTGCTGTAGGCTTTCTGGGCCACCACGAAAGCCCGGCCCAGGCTGCCATGGCCTCATCCCCAGCTGGAAGAGGCTGGAAGGACATTGGGAGATGGTGGTGGTTCCTGGTGAGAACCAGCTTCAGGCTGTGCGGGCCTCAGGCCCTGAGAGAGAGGAGCTTGCCTGTGACCGTCCCTGCCCCGGGGTCAGGGCCCGTCCTGCCTGATGACCTCCCAAGCACAGGCTGGCTTTGCCCACCCCAGGTGTCCTTCACTGTCCACATGACCCTCATTCCACATCCTCCTCCCCAAGGCAGAGGCCCCTCCCCACCTCCAGGCCCTTATCTGCACCCGCCCTTCTTAGGACACCTGACCAGGGCTCCAGGGGACAGCAGTCCAGACCCAAAGGCCAGTCCCCAAGCCTTGTCCTCCTAATGAGCTGACTGTGCAGAGGCCTTGCCGGAACGTTCCGTTTCCATCTCAGGGGAGGGGAGGTCCTCCCTGCCCTCCTGCCCTTGGCAGACATCAGGATCTCAGAGGATCCCAGAGCCCGCCAGGAAGCGGTGTCCTCAAGCGCCTTTTCCCAACACAGGCACCTCTGTCCTGGCTCTCCCAGTCGCAGCTACACCAGCCCACCCCGTGAGGTCCCTGCAGACAGAGGCTGGGCATCCCCCGGGCCCCACGCCGGGCACAGTCACGGGACCTGCCAGGTGGAAGTCACCAGGTCAGCCCCAGAGAGGCCGCACCCTTCCTCCTGGTGTTCCTGGGGACAGGCTCAGCCAGGGGCACCAGCCTGGTCCAGGACCAGCGAGTGTTAGGAGCAGAGTGAGGACAAGTCATGGCAAGGGAAGCAGAAATAATGAGGGTCCTTCCGGCTCCAAACACCAACACGGAAGGGGAGGGCGTTGCTGAGTCTCCTGCTGGGAAAAACAGGCCCTGGGCATATAAAAGCCCCAGCAGCCGACAGGCTCAGACACACACTCACACACACACTCACTCATTCACACACTTCCCCCAGCTCACCTCCTCCCCACCCCAGCATGGCCGCGTCCACCATGTCCATCTGCTCCAGCACCTGCACCGACTCCTGGCAGGTGGACGACTGCCCAGAGAGCTGCTGTGAGCCTCCCTGCTGCGCCCCCAGCTGCTGCGCCCCAGCCCCCTGCCTGACCCTGGTCTGCACCCCAGTGAGCTGTGTGTCCAGCCCCTGCTGCCAGGTGGTCTGTGAGGCCAGCCCCTGCCAATCAGGCTGCACCAGCTCCTGCACATCCTCATGCTGCCAGCAGTCCAGCTGCCAGCCGGCTTGCTGCACCTCCTCCCCCTGCCAGCAGGCCTGCTGTGTGCCTGTCTGCTGCAAGCCCGTCTTCTGCAAACCTGTCTGCTCTGGGGCTTCCTCTCCGTGCTGCCAGCAGTCTAGCTGCCAGCCAGCTTGCTGCACCTCCTCCTGCTGCAGACCCTCCTCCTCCGTGTCTCTCCTCTGCCGCCCCGTGTGCAGCTCCACCTGCTGCGTGCCCGTCCCCTCCTGCTGTGCCCTCACCTCCTGTTGCCAGCCCAGCTGCTGCCGCCCGGCCTCCTGCGTGTCCCTCCTCTGCCGCCCTGTGTGCTCCCGCCCGGCCTGCTGCAGTCTCTCCTCAGGCCAGAAGTCCAGCTGCTGATGGCCATGTCCTCCAGGGCCAGCCAGGGGAACTCCCTGCCAGTCCTTGGACCTCCCAGCCCACCCAGCCCCAACACAGCCCAACCACAGAGAAGCAGCAGCCCCACCCACAGCCGTCCAGCCCAGGGGTGGGGTCTGAGATGGTCACTGGCTCCTCCCAGACCTCCCCCAGGGTGGGCGAGCCCTGGCTGCTCCTTGTGGCGCCTCCTGGCTGCAGACCACGACCCTCTGCTGGTTGGGTATGGGCCTTCCTGACCCGGGTCTCGCACCCAGGAGTGTCACCCTCTGCCTCTGGGCACCAATAAAGCCTCTGCAGCCCCAGCTGACTCTGTGCTGACTCTTCACACCCAGGGCGGGATGGGGCAGAGTGGGGCCTGGCCTGGCTCTGGGGGGCTGGGCCCCGTGGATCTCTTTACATCCCCAGCTGGGGGGCCGTGGGGGGCTCTTGTGTGACACCTGGAAGTTTCTGTCCACCTTGTGGCATGTTCTGCTGTCCAGCTCCCCTCCAGGTCCTGTGGGGCCCAAAAGCTTTGCTCACTGACTGAGTCCCACGGACACCACATGGCTCGGGCCAACGCTCCACTCACCGTGGGTAGAAGCAGCTCCTTCCCATGGCAAGGGTTGGGGCTGTCCCAGCGGGTGGCAGGCCCCAGCTGTGCTGGGAGGTGGGACATGGGGGCAGACTTGGGCTCCAGCTGTCCCTGTGCTGAGGGAGTTCCACTCAGGGACAGCTTGGGCATCCTGGCCTCCTGCGCACACTCACAGACGCCCAGGGACGCCCTCTGTTCCTGCGCCAGGCTTGTAGCTGGGATGCAGAGCAGAGAACAGGGACGTGGCCTCCAGAGCTCCCTGTGCTGGGCTGGGTGGGCGGAGGGCCGGTGGGAACAGGAAGGCCCCAATGGCAGAGGAAGCCCGGGACAGCGTGGGGACACATGCAGACCAGAGGTCGAGAGAAACACACGGACACACAGGTCCAGGTGTAGCCAGATGTGGTTTCAAACAGGATTGAGCCAATCTGAGAACAGACTCCTAGAAATGCAACTGTAGGCAAGGGACGCTGACAAGGCGACGGTCATCACGTTGTCCACAAGAGGCCCCGAGTCTTTACTTCTTAACAGCTACACGATCACAATGCCAGGCCACACATTGTTCTTTTTTTACCAGGTTGATTAACAAAAATATTTTCTCATGGTTTTCTTCAGCAAGGAGTGCATCGTTCCAAAGTGTGGACACGCCACACTTGATGTCTGCAACGCCAGGTGGATGGCCTTGAACGTCTCTCCAGTTGTTAATTATTACAAACGATGCTTCTTGTGAGATATGGCAAGGTTTCTCTTCAAACAGCCTGATCAATCCTTTATTGTTTAATTCCCAGTACCCCTCCCTGTCTCTTTCTTCTTCTTTCCTTCTTTCTGCTTTTCCTGCATGCCCAGGCATGCCACAGCACCAGCTCACATTCCTTTCCTTATTTGAGAAAAGACTGACTCCCTAGCTCACTGCAGACGACCCCTTCCCCTAAACGTTTAGCCAATCGCGTTCAGCTTAGATTGCACAGTCTGACCCTGGCCAGTTAAAAAAGGGCACAGGGGCAGGATTTGCATCAAAAATAAAAACTTTCACTCTCCTTTGTTCTGTGTGCTCTCATGGCAACCGGCCATACGAGAGGCACCTCTCTGTGCAAAGATAATTTTGCTTTGCTAAAAAATCCTTTGTCTAAGGGCTAGTTTTCCTTACGACTCTGGTTCTATTTCTAACACCTCTGTGGGTGTTTCTACCAGATATCTTTCCACACTCAGGTACATTTTTGCTTGAATTCCTAGAAGTGGCATTGCTAGCACCGAGTGTTCATGGATTTCCAATTCATAGAGATACTGAGAAATGCCCTCAAAGATGGTCCCTAATTGTGCCCGCGAATACCGATGTCAGAGGAAATGGCGCAGCGGGGAACTGTGAGGGCCTGTCCCTCCAGGGAACATCAGAAAGTGGCAAAACCCAAACAAACCAACCCGCGGTCCCTGGCCAGCGTTCCCTGGCTGTGCAGTTGTATTTCTAGGAGTCTACCCTCGGATTTGTTCATCCTGTTTGAAACTGTCTGGCTCCATCTGCACACGTGTTCGCGTGTTCACGTGTTCTCCCGCCCTCTGGTTTGGACGTGGTCCCACACTGTCCTAGGCTTCCTCCACCATCACTTCCCCAAGACCTTCCCATCCCCACCTGCCGTCCACCCACCCACCCCAGCAGAGGGGGCTGGAGTTCAATTTTATCTGAACTCTGGAAAATATTTGAAGGTTTGCAGCAGGCAAGGGAACATATAACCAAGAAAAAGCAACAGAATCAAATAGGAGAACCTTGTGGATTTTAACTTCCGCTTGCCCCATCCCCCATCTCCAGCTGGGTGACAGTCAGGAGGACAGCAGCCGGAGTTCCTGGTGTGGGGTGCTGCTGCCAGGGAAACAGAGGGGACCTTGTTTGCAAGGCAGTGAGGTTGTCCGTTTCCACCCATCTGGTGACTCCCTGAAGGACTAACACACAGGGCTTGCCTTATTTCACCAACTCAGACTCAAGGCAGAGAGCAGCTACACCAAGGCTTTGTCAGAACGTTAAACAGTCACTGCCACCTGGGGCCAAAGATATCAGCCAGAAAACACTGGGCACACCTGAAAAGCCTGGGAGGAAAAGCTGGGAGATGGCATGCTTTGAGGAATAAGGGAGTTGGGAGATCCCACTTATTCTTGGGAGTCCAGAAGGCCCCCACACATGCCCATGACGGGGCACAGCCTCAGAAAAGACCTGAGAAGCTCTCAGTGCTCACCTCTGGCTGAACTTCAGGCTCTGAGCAAGCAGGAAGTGAAGGTGCAAGCAGGAAGTGAAGGTGCAAGCAGGAAGTGTGAAGGTGCAAGCAGGAAGTGAAGGGGAAGGCAGAGTCGCAAACTCCCCAGCTGAGTGCTGAGGGTGTGGACCAATGTACAGAGCCTAGCTACAAGCCCTGGAGAAAAACATTTTTTTGATTCCAGGGGTTTAAGGAACTCTCTGTCAAATTACTGTCTCAGCACTAAGCTAATAGAACAGTGAGCACACATGACGAAGAAACTATTTTTTTAAGGTGACATAAACAAGCAAAAACAACCACAATCCACAACAATCAGCAACAGCAAATTGCACAGAGGGGGAGAACCTGATACCCAGAAATATCCCATTGTAATAGTCACTGTCCAGTTTTCACCAGACAGAGCAGGAAGAAATATGAGCTACTCGTGGGGGGAAAACAATTAATAGAAAATCTTCCTGAGGAAGACCAGAATTGGACTCACTAGATAAAGTCTTTCAATCAACTCTCTTAAACTGTTCGAAAAACTAAATAAAATCACAGACAAAGAATTAAGATAAACCAGGAGAATGATGCCTCACCAAATAGACAATATCAATAAAGAGATAGGAACTTTAAAAAGAAACCAAACAAAAATTCTGGAATTGAAAAGTACAACAACTGAAAAAAATAATTCATGATAGGGTTTCAACAGCAGATTTTATCAGGTGGAAGAATTAGTGAACATAAAGACAGATGAATTAAGATACTTTAGTCTGAGGAGTAGATGAGACAAAGGGGAGTAGATGTGAGAATGGAGAAAAATGAACAAATCTTAGAAGACCTGTGGGACACTATCAAGCATCCCAACACGCTTAACTGGATTTCCAGATGGAGGGGAGACGGGGGAACAGAAAAAATAATTGAAGAAATAATGGCCAAAACTTCCCAAATTGAGAAAACACATCAATCTACACGGTCAAGCCACTCAGTGAACCCCAAGTAGAATAAACTCAAAGAGAGTCACACAAAAACACAGTGTAATCAAATTCTCAAAAGTCAAAACAGAATCTAGAAAGCAGCTGCACAGAAGACTAACAGCGGATTTCTCATCAGAAACCATGGAGGCCAGAGGCATTAGGATGACATATTTCACGTGCTGGCTTGGGGTACAGGGGCGGGGGAAACCAACAACCAAAAAGACATCAGCATCTGACAAAATTATCCTTCAAAAATGAAAGAGGGGTCAGGTGTGGTGACTTATGCCTGAAATCCAAGCACTTTGGGAGGCCGAGGCAGGTGGATCACGAGGTCAGGAGATCAAGGCCATCCTGGCTAAAACTAATATAGTGAAACCCTGTCTCTACTAAAGATACAAAAAACTAGCCGGGCATGGTGGTGGGAGCCTGTAGTCCCAGCTACTCTGGAGGCTGAGGCAGGAGAATGGTGGGAACCCAGGAGGCAGAGCTTGCAGTGAGCGGAGATCTCGCCACTGCACTCCAGCCTGGGCAACAGAGCGAGACTCTATCTCAAAAAAAAAAAAAAAGAAAAAGAAAAAAGAAAGAGAAAGTGGTTCATTTCAAGGTAAATAAAACCTGAAAGAGCTCATTGCCAATAGACTTGCCTTACAAGAAATGCTAATTCAGGCTGAAATACAAGGGCACTAGACAGTAACCTGGAGCCATATGAAGGAAAGGTAGCCATGTTGGTGGTTTGTGTGTTTATAAGAATTTTTCCATTACATATTGGTTATCTAATTTGTTGGTGTACAAATTTTCATAGTATTCCTTATAATCCTTTTTATTAATGTAAGGTCAGTAGTGATATTCCCATTTTCATTTATGATTTTAATTATTTGAATCTGTCATCTTTTAATCTAGATAAAGATTTGTCTAGATAAAGATCTAGACAGATAAAGATTTGTCAAATCTGTTACTCTTCTCAAAGAACCAACTTTGGGGTTTATTGATTCTATTGATTTTTTACTTTCTAGTCCATTTTTCTGTGTTCTAGTCTTTATTTTCTACCTTCTGCTAAATTTGGATTCAGTTTGCTCTTCTTTTTCTGGTTCCTTAAGGTATCAAGTTAGATTAATGATTTGAG